ATAGTAGAATTCTTTTGCAGCAAAGAAAAGCAGCAATTATTCACTATTTAGCGTTACAATCCTTGTATTGCGTTATTATCCACTTAGTTACGTTATTACACATTTCTATTCGATATCGGTTATCTTGTACGTTACGATTGTTCTCGAGTAATTTAGATGAATCTTCGGTGACTGGCGTGGTAACGTGTTGAGGGTAGTTTTCTCTTACCGATCGGATGATCCCTTTTAGATGAATAAACCAATACCTATGTGAACATTCATTTCGCTTGTTTTCAAATATTACGTTTTGCTAATAAGTTTTCTTCATCACTTATATTATGTGTAGCCTCGAACAAAATGACTTCGATTCCACATGGAAGTGGTGCAAGATTGCAAACAGTCGTGTTACTACATATTTACCGGTAAAAACTACATGTTCCCCGTGCGACTCGTCGGAAAGGGACGCCGATCGGCGCGACGCGAAGAATTTCAGACACTCCAGGTGCGTCGATCGCTTATCGAGCGTGACATTTCGTTTAACAGCGTCCAAATCAACGGTCAACGCGTTTAACGAGGAACCGACGGCCCTGTTTACGGACAAAACAACTCGATATCGGATCGGAATCGATGTTTTTATCGCGTCACGAATCGCGCGGAAAGTAAATAGGAATTATTGGGCTCGCCGGTATCCGGCGTCGACCGACTCTTTTCTTAGTTTTAATTGTAAAGGAAAATCAACCACTCGATGCATACACAACCAAAGATCCTCTCTGCATTCATATTCGTGCCTTCATCGATTTATTTTCCGTTTCACCCTTATCGCTAATACCCTCTCGTTCCGTGTTTACCAATCCCGAATCCGTAAAACAGCGTCGTTGACCGAATTTACATAAATTCGAGTACCGACGCGCAACGGATAAATACAACGCAGCAACGATTCGGTCGCTTGTAAACAATCATGAATACAAAAAGCGTCGGCGTTCCGTAATGACGAACAGGTCGCGCTCGGATCGCCGACCATCCGAATAAAGAATGTACCCAAATCCAGTGGGTCCGGTTCGACCGAGCAATTATCGAGTAATTATCCCGCTGACGGGGTAACGAGAATTACTGCCGGCCACTAAAACAGCTGCCATTTTTTCCTTCGACCGCGCTCGAACGGAACCCGTCGAAATCTGCGGCAGGTAAACCTGCCACGCGCGAAAGCAAAACAGCGGGAAAGGGGCGGTTTCGGTTTTTATTGTGCCTCACCCCGCGCCGTTCGTTCCCCGACTGACAAAAGCGAACGTTCTCGGGGATGTTTTGAAAGCGCGCGTTTCGGAAGCGGTCAAAGTTGTTTATGCAAGGCCAACGTCCAGATTTCGAATCTAATCTTCGGCTTCGGCTTAAATACTCGCACGCCGGACTCGTCTCGACGGATTTTTCACGCTATCGCGATTGCTTGGCGACTCGAATGCTCACTTTTTTTAACCCACTCGCCGCAAGGACGGAATTATGATTCATCCGTGCTGGCGAACGTCGGAACGCTTCGCGTTAGGATGCGTTTCAAATATGATCGCAGTCTAGTGAATAAGTTAACAGATTTTCAGGTAGTTAATGCGATTTTTGATAAAACCGAAATTTCCTTGATATTTTTGAGATTTTTGATTAGTACAATATCTCGCGTTGAACTTCTCAACGTTTCGTTTTTGTCAGAGGCGTGTACGGACCGCGAGTTCGCTTATTTAGAAATATAACCATCCCAGACAGCCAAGGTGAACCAGCGGCAGTGGAAAGCCGTGGAAATCGAATTCGTTTAAGGCTGGCCACTCCGCTGGATCAAATAATCGGAGGATTCTTGTATTTCAGCAGGATGTTATCGGGAACGTTATTAATATTGATGAAACGCTGGAACGGTCCAAGTATTCGTTCAAGGTTCGAACCGACAAACACTTTTACATTCGTTCAACTTTTATGCTCTTCGGTCCGACTCGATCCACGGTTCCCACCGCGAAATGTTAATTATGTATAATTATTCGCAACTAAATCACACCGATATCCCGTAAGAAATCGAAGCGAAACACACACGTATGCTGAATATCGAATCCGTTCAGCCCTCAGGAAAGACGCGCAAGGAGTTACATCGAAGCCGAATTTCCCGCGTGAATAGGGGCCGAGTTCACCGACGAAATAAGGAAACCGTGACGACGGTAACAAGCCTTTTAACGCCCGCCCGCGCGCGTTCCTCCGTAGATAACAGGGCGCCCGAATCCCGCGTCTCGATGCGATCGATCATTATCCGGTTGTCGTTCGTATCGCGTCGCACATGAAAAATCGCGTGCGAAAAGGAGGAAAAAGAAAAGTAAACTACACGTCGTATCGCTGTAACGGCGCGAACGAGAATTTTTCAACCGCCGGGAACCAGTCCGGCGCCTAATGAGGCGGAACGAGCCACCGGCCATAATTCCTGCGGTGACACCGTGAAATTCGCCGAAATTCGGGCTTGACGGCAGTTTGTCGGATATCGGAGGGGCGGGGATCGTCGATAACGGCCGATCGACGCGACCAAGGAGTTTCTGTTCGATAGAGCGCCAGAATAGAGTGTGCACGGAGAAAGGTTTGCTCTAGCTTTTACAGGACATGTTGATTCTAGCAGCGTAGCAGAGCTTCCAGGCACGTTGCGTGATAGGGAATTTGTTATAAAGACACTTTGAGAGTAACTCTATCGCCTGGAGCAAAGTTAAACCCGTGTATTGTCTATTTCTGATCGGAACTAGTCGATTAACCCTTTGCGCCGGATGCCGCGTTTCGACGAGATGAAATATTCAGATTTCGAAGACGTGGACAAACGATCTAATTAGTCGAAGAGATCAACACGCCGTTTTTCTATCAATTAAGCAACTGATATGTAATTTAGCTTCGTACGTTGAAGGTTTATGTTTCGAAGGATCTTCGTCTCCAAAGGGTTAACATGGTTTCTAGATCATTCGGTGGGGATGTGAGAAGTAGCTTTAAGGTTTGCAATTCCAAAAAGGACTCTACCAAAGGATCAAACGTTTCACTAGCTTCTTCGCGCAGTGACCGGCTAAACGAAACTGGACGCAATCTGAACGCAAGCGAGTCGTCGACGTGGTTCGTTTTTCTGGTAAAGGACCGAGCGACCATCACGGATGACCACTCGCCGCCTGACAAAATGCAGATGATGCAGCCTCGCCCCGGCCAGCCGCATTACGAAACGAAAGCATTAAAAGCGTAATTGGATTGCGCGATGCCCGTTGACGTCACCGATCGAACGTAGGGGGAAGAAGGAATTCCTCGGTAAGGCGAGGAGTAAAATGGTACAGCAGCGAGTGCTGCTTAAAGGCGGATAAATCATGGAAACAAGTTCGCGCGACAATACGTCATCCTATTCGCGGTACCGAGCAAGAAACTACCGACGCTCGCGCTCGCTCGCTCGCTCGCTCGCTCGCCCGCGCGCGCACAGTGGATGCACACGCCGGGCAAAAAGGTCGGAGCAGAGATTTATATTGCCGCTTATCGAACTCACAAATTACTCGGGGCACGGAGCTAGGAAAAAAGGCAACGATTTATGCACACGCCGAAGAGCCACGGTGCAAGTTCGCTTCTCGGGGGAAAACTCGGGACGACTTATCATTACGAAGAAAAGCGTGTTAATGAGTTGACCTGGCAGGATCAAAATATTTGATAAGCTCGAAGGACAAGTCCGATGGTGAATACTATCGTGCAGGGCTTCGAATGGGGATATTCCGAATTTAAGGGGAGAGATGTTTGCCCATTAAACTTTCCGAGATGTAGTATGTCTAAGATATATTCTGTTTAATTATCTTTATGTTTTATTTCCTTTAATCTATTTGTTTTATTTCGCTTTAGCGGAGAATTGACAAAATGTAAGGTTTTATTGCCAAGTTTAGGCTAAGTATCGTGACCGTTACCTATTGTTAAGGCCGTTTGACTGGAATCATCCCCCAAACCTGCTATATAACTTCGGAGTCGCATATATCCGTGCTCTTTTAAGTCTCATTTCAGTTTATTGCTACAACCTGGCATGACACTTTATTGTCGTGCCATTCGTTCATAAAATCCCTTAGGAAACTCGGAACGGCACTTTTAACGTGCACAAACAATTACTTGGAATCCAAAGCATTACCTTAGCTGACCGAATGCCTAAACTCGGTGGCTCTTAACGCCTTCGTATAACATATTTGTGACGCTCAACAGTTTGCATCTTGGAAAATTCCATTCCGTTCGTACACGCGTTAATCGTTATTCTACACTTATTCTAAGTGCAAGTGTTGTATTTGCATAGCATTATAACGGCACATGCGAGTTTTCATATTTCATATTTTCCGTATGCATACAACGAGAAAGAAAATTCGCGCGAAAACAGAAATCGGTTCAACGATCTTCTGTAAAAGCACCAATAATTGACCAGTTAAAAAAAACTGTCTGCGTAATTAACAGTAAACGCTTGCTCCTTTATTCAAGCGTGAAAATGCTGTTTCAACTTACATTATGTAACAAAACCAACTTTTACGAAATACTTATATCGCGCCTTTATCAAACAATTACTTTTAACCCTTTGAACTCTGTAGGCTCCAATATTGCACCAGTTATAATATCAAATATTTTAACGAATCAAAGAAACTACCCTAAAATTATTCGATTCTCCACACATCCAAATTTCGTGCTAAAGAAAATAAAAGATGGAAGAAATGTTATAGCATTTCTAATTTTCGCTGGGAATACTATAAAAATTAGTTGCAGTTGCTGATAGATTACAAAACAACCTGGAGTGCTAAGGGTTAAATTTTCAACAAAATAAAAGATCTAAAAAGTGTTATAATTCATTCTCGGTACTACACAAATCGGTTGTAGTTGATAGGTTACAAAACCGTCCAGAATGCCAACGATTAGAAACCTCATTTTCCACGTTTCCCCGAAAGATCCTCTAGCAGGTCGATTACCGGTGCCTTTACTTTTCGTCATTCGTGAAACGGTAAAAAAATCAAGGCATTACTCACCAAACGACGCCGAATGCACCGTATCCGATGGGTCTGTCCGGCTGAACGGGATCCTGGGCTGGCGGCGGCGGCGGGGGTGCAGGCGCAGCAGGGTGGTAGTAGGTGGGGGGTGCCTGGGCCGCAGCCGCGGCCGCGGCCGCCACGGCGAGGACCGCTTGGCCGGGATGGGCCCCGGTTGTCCCGCCGCCGCCTGTCGCTCCCGCCCCACCCCCCTGCACCAGCGACATAGACACGCTCATGGACACCCGCGAGTGCCGGCTGGGCCCAACTACTGCCATCAAAACTCTCCGCTCTCCCTGGGGGCCAACCTCCTCTCAACCCTTTCCTTGGTTCACCGCCACCGCCACCGCCAACGGTCTCTGCTTCTTCGAGGAAGAACCCGAGACACGCCTCTCCTCCGCGCCCCCCTCGCCAGACGTTCCAGTATCTCGAAACGAGCGTCGATTTTTCTCCGTCACTGGCTCACCTTTCCCGCGTCGGAGGGCAGAGGGGCAGACACGCACATGTATACGGTACGCACACACACTGTTCCTCCCCCAATGATCCTTGTCGGCCGCGGTCGAGAGACACCGGTACGCGCGCGAGACACTGACACACAACTCCGTCCGGGTCGTTCCCTTTAATCTGTTCCTCTTCACCGGTACCCTCGATCGCCGGTTCTTCTATCGTTCGATCCGAGAGAGCGTTCGTTCGGGTCGATCCGTGGTTGATCTGACGATTTGTTCGTGCTCGAACCCGGTGCCTCGAGGTTCCTCGGTTAACACTGTCGCAGCGTTTCCGGTCCCATCGCTTGCCGGTAGATCAGTCGATCGATGGATCGCACGAGATTTCCGGTGGGAAACGCGACGTCGGCTGGTGCGCGTTTCGAATCGCCCGCGCTTCGGCGGGAATGGGTGCTGGAGTGGGGCGTTGCGGGAATCGAGGGACGAGGTTTCGTGACACCGCACGCTCGGTAGCGACCGTGATCGCGTCCTTTATCGTGACCGCGACGGGATGCGATAACACGCGCGGCGCAGAGCAGAGTGGCCGATTCTTGGAAAAGAACGGTCAGTCGATGTCCTCGTGCGCGTTTCGGTACGCGCCGTTGTCGGGGCGTTGTGTGTCAGACGTCCCCTCGGATGCGTTCCTCGGAACGGCCCTGGCGCACGTCCGTCCGGTGTTGTTGCTGGACAATTTCCGATGGTAAACGTGTCCTCGATGCGTGGAACGTCACCGGTCACGGGCACGTTCTCGTCGGAGGATACTCGCCGCTGGTACAGCGTTCTCTGTTATCGCCAGCTCCGTCGGGGGCGGTCACTCGGCGAGCGACGCTTAGGTTATGTTTGACACACGCACGCACGCTAGCCGTTCTCGCTCCCTCTTCGCCGTCAGTTACGCTCAGCTGGCCTCATAACGTTCGCGTTCCGCGTAGGGACGGCGGCGGATGGAGGGGTGGGGAGAGCGGTGTGCTTGTCCGTAAGGAACCCACGGGTAAGCGCGAGAAGAAAACAGAGAAAGGAACCGCGAATGGGGGGGAAACACACTTGGAAAGGCTCGGTCGAGTCCTCGATGGCCAACGACGATCTCCGGCTTTACCGGGACCGAATTTGTTATTCGGCGGTCCTCGCGCACGACCACCGACCGATATCTCTTTCTCTCTCTCTCACGCTCTCGTCCTCTCTTTCTCTTTCTCTCACGCTCTCTCTCTCTCTCTCTCTCTCTCTCTTTCTCTCTCCTTTCACTCTCTCTCTTTCTCTTCAACACTGTCCGGGTCCTACGGCCGAGCCAAGAACACTTGCCACTTCTCTCTCTCGGTGCCAGATACCGTCGGAGCACGCACACACCAAAAACAAAAAGGGGAAAAACAAAATGAAACACGCGCGCGCGCACACACAGAAGCGAGAGAGGGAGAGAAAGAGAAAAAAAGGAGTCTCTCGCGTTAGCCGCGATGGAGGGATCGTCGCGGTACGAACGGAAACGCACGTGTTCTCGCAACGAAGGCTTGCTGGCCACTGGCCGAAGGGGAAGGCGAGCTGTGCTGTCTACAGCGCCAGCTGCTCACAAAGGGGGGTCACGTGACCCTGCGCATTGACGCGACGCGCAGCGGAACCAGCGATTCCTGCGTCCCCTTTGGAAAATACGATCGCCGATATGTTCTACCCGGGCTATTCTCCTTACTCTTTGTGCCTTTTAATTCGATTAACGTCTCGTTCGCGAATACAGAGGGTGTATCAAGGAAATTCGTAACGGGACTGACATTTTTATCCGTAACGTTCGTTACTTATGCCCGGCGACAAACAACGCGGAAACATTTGAAAGTTTTTAATCCCCCCGGGGGTAGGGGATCGCTCTAGGGTGGTTTCTATTTGCCGATGGGGTGGTTCTCGTGCATGCAGAGTAAATGAGACAATCGTTTGACAAATATAACTGTAGTTGAACGTATATATTTACAGGATTGTTGTGAATCACTGTCGGAACGTATTAAATTAAAAAATCATTCTCGTTACTTCGCCGCGACGCGACAACTTACATTCATAAAAAATGCTACGCAAGTACGAACAGTTTCAAACCAGCGATTTACAAAGCACAGTTTCTGCCTGTCGGTACGATTGTAAGAAAAAATTGGAGCGCGCCGGAACGATTGCCGTACGAGTCTCCTTTGTCGCGACGCTCGTGTTAAATGCATAGGACGGCTCGGAGAAGACGCGTACGGTAGTCCGGTCGTCCTCTGCGCGCTGGTCTCTCGAACCAACGCGACGGTCTTATCTTACAATCGCAACATTGTTATTCGAACATTTTATTGCGTACATCCGTGTCTGCATCGATATCCACATTTATCATACACATGTATCGTTTCGGTGATAAGTATACCCATAAAGGAGAGTATTATCTGTTTGTTGTTTCTCTGTTCAATTGTACACATATTTGCGAGGCATGTATTCACAATTAACAATACGAGAGTAGCAAAACCCGATAAAATTCTGTTCGAATGTAACAAAGGCCAAAATTATTGTGTTCGGTATTTTCCTTCATTTCTTTTTTTCCTTCTCCCCCGCCCCTATACATAATTGAAAATAATTTCTTTTCGTTTTTTTTCTTCTTCTTCATTTCATTCTTTCATTCTAGCGATCACATTGAGCACGTTTAACGAGCTAGTTTAGTACACGTTTAAAATCTAATTCATTCTTATGATCTCTATAATTATCGTTCTAGAAACGCCTGTGTCTCGTTACTTACTCCTAGGCGACGTAGGTACAATCTGTGAATACAGGCCTGAAGAACTTACAGTACGATCGTGTAGGAAAATATGAAAGTGTTTTATGCATCTCGAAATCATCTCCTCGCGCGCTACGCATAGGCTTCTATCTTTGGTCTGACCGAATTCCCGTCGACAATGGTTCTAACACTCGTTCGCCGAAAGAACGCGTGATCCGCGAGAGAAAAATAAATTTCGCTCTAGTATCCGTTTAACTCCTCGCTATATTGCAGATAACACAGTCCTCGTGCTCCCATTCTTTTTGTTCTCTGTTTTTTTTTTCCTCTTTAATTTCTATTCGCGTTCATCAGACACGTACAAAGACCGCAGACGAAGTATAGTTACAAGAGGTCCTGCCCGAGACGATCGGGCAGGAGGACAAACATCACAAACTTTCTCGACCCGACTAAATCTGATGCTAAAAGATGTACACGATGAGGGACTTCAAGCTCATCGGTGCCCGTGATCCCGATGTTGTCGATTTCCGTAGGAATCCACGTGATTCCGCGTGCGTTCAGCTTGAAAATGTTTGTACAAAATGTTACTGTAACGATCCTTTCGCGATCGGAGCTACGATCGTTCTTGTAAATTTATAAAGTTTTAGAAATATTCGAAACCCTTCTGTTTCAGTTTTCACTGGGCACCGACGGGCACGGACATTTAACGTTTACCTCGCGTGTTTGTTACTGTTTTATTAATTCACTAACATTAATTCATGGTATTTATGTACTAACAAGCGCACAGGTATTAGCAATATTAAGCTCATGAGGTACAGTGTGCTTTACACCATAAGTAATCTAGTCATTTGGCGATAGATTGTATAGAATTAAAGATGAAAGACGTAATCGGCGTTAAAACAAGGTGTTGCGTAAGCGTACATAAATCACATGTACACACACCCGTAATTATTATACACTGAAATCTCATGGAAACTTCAAAGAATATTGAAAAGTAGTTCGTCATTTTTCTTTCGTTCCTGGATTGAAGCGGAGGTAAATAGAATTATAAGAATATCAATAATCTCTTACGAAGGTAACAGAAGAGAATGTTTTTTCCACTTCGTACGAACAGTGTTTCATAAAATTTGTGCGAACCCTCGGCTTGATGCACAACAGTTTTCATTCTTCATTCAACTTTGTACAGACAACATACATCGGCTACCATTTTTAGTTCAGTTTCTTTTTTTAATCGCTAGACACTATTCAATCACTTTGTATAAATTTTCATTAGGTATTATTGAGCGACAACATCACTGCGATCTCAAGTCAGTACTAGATTAAGACAGCTCGAAGCCAGTGTTACTAGTAACTGCGTAACGCAACTTCTCCCTTAGCGTGCTCTTCTTTTGGTAATTGGGTAATTTAAGTAAATTAAAACACGTAGAGGACGTAGGCAAACGATTCTGCGGATCCTTCTTGCGAATTGTGAAGAATCCTCTGATCACGCTACCTGATTTAAAGAAGAGAAACATAGACAACAGGAAATATTACACAATTCCGAGGAAGTATAGAATTTCGTACCTATCGTATCACCCGTATCTTCATCGTCGCCAACTTCTACACAGCGGATAGTAAAAGGTGGCTCTAAATGAGCGAAACCCAATAAAGGTGACTTTGAGCAGCTAGTAACGAACTGCGAAGCAAGCAAAACGAATAAATATTAGTCATAACAACTCTCCGATGCAATACGATAAATAATACCTTCAAGAATAAGCCCCTTTCTTCTTCGGAGAAATCTTTTTCTAAAATGTCCCATAACCAACACACTACGCGATGGCTGTCATGGAAACCGCCGTAATATTTCGTATGCTTACGCAGATCCCGTAAATCTAACGGAACATTATCGCCCGAAATTAATCGCTGCAGCTAAGAAAAGAAAAAGGAATTTGAAGTACAAACATTGCACACTTAACCACCGGTGTCTTACGTAAGTTTCGTCTTACTTCTGGAGTCGAAAACAACGCCAACCATTCAGGGTTAATTATAGAACGGAACCCTTTAATGAAAGCAGCCGTTTGATCCTTTATTTGCATATGCATTCTGAAATGAGCCATTAAGTGTATATAATTAATTTTATTCTCGTTGGTGACCGGCACCGCTCGTCCTCCAGGAATTAATTCGTGTGTAACTAGTTTGCCTAGAACGTCTTCATCAAGAGAGAAAGTCAATTCTAACTGTCTAACATCACCCTTGTAATGTTTCACTAGAGTGAGACTACGATACAAGTCTCTGTCTAACGAAGCTAATTCGTCCAACCAGCTATACAATGCCCCCCCGGTTTGGCCAGAAAATTGGGAAACAAAGAAGGAAGCGAAAGGTACATCTACAACAATACCCTGAAAAAAAATATAACGTCTAAGTACGAAGCAGGAATACATGTTTCAAAATAATTCAACGTTCACTTACTTCATATACAGCTTTACCCAACATACGTCCAACAAATTCGAACAGCTGCAAGTGATTATCTTGCATAGAGGATGTGGGAGACGGATAAAGTCGATTTTCAGTCGTGGCTTTGAACAAATTCAAAGACGGATCGAAAACTTTCTTTATCGTTTCTTCCAGAAATTCTTTAAACACTCCGTCTTGGTCAATGCCGGCTTCGGCTAAACCCTGCTCATTTACAAAACGAACCCTGATCACACCTTTCAATGCCTGAGAAGGTAGCATTGCAAGCTGACGATATCCGTCTTCTACTATACGTGTTCTGAAAGATACGTTCCCATTGTTATTTTATTTTACATTTTTTGGGTAAACGAAAATCTGTACAAGCACCTGTGAACAACGATTAGCGTCGTTGGTGTACTGTTGCAGGCACTCTCGGTCATACCCAATACGTCTTTCTCGTTAGCTACTTGCTTGCGGAATAGTACTACACGTTCTGAATGCGGAATAACATGAGGCATCTTGGAAAGAAGAAGAGCAGCACCGCGTCTACCTTTTTCCAAGTCTGCTAGGAAACCTGACACGCGAACTTCCTGTTTCGGGAATATTTCAATTTTAAAACCACATAAGATAATCTGAGAACTATTTTGTTCAATAGACTTAACTTTGCCAACCAGTGTCCATCTGGGCAAAACGTCCGCCTACAATCTCGCCGATAAATTGCCATTAACAGTGTGTGAAGAGAGGTAAACAAAGGATTATTAGGAACCGCTTTCACGTCTGGAACATCTGAAACGTCATTTCACAACTAAACCGGCTGTCATTTATGAATGTATATGAGAAAACAGGCAGAATTGTAGGTCGTACGAAAATGCAATATGAAGGACTCGATACATACCAAACAAGTTATTCAAAACAGCTTTGTACAAAAACTGATTTAAAAAATATGATATTGTTACAAAGTCGGAAAGCTTGAACGGATCTTGTTGCTCATACATTTCCATGTCATCTAAGATTCTGAAAATGAGGAGTAATGTTTTTATTAATATAGATAGACACTTAAGAAATATATATTTCAGAAAGTTCCAATGCACTCACGTGACGTAATGTGTCATACAATCAGACAGTAGTATCAACATTTGAAATTCAGGTGCTGTGCATTTTGTATTAGCAGCTAAATGGTCTAAAAATGCTTTTAAACCACAGTGTGGACCCAATGTTCCCAGGAATAAATACATGTGATATAAAATTTTATCCTGATAGCATAAGCCTGTCGTTATAAGCACATATGTGATTACTGTTGAGTTATTAGAATTGTTTTAATTTATACGTACCAGTTAAAATTTCCATTTTCATCTGTGTAAGCGTATGTAACGCGATTTGGTATAGGGAACATATTAAAGCTATCCTAGTAGTCTCTGGACTCCCCAATTTTCTATAATTTTTAGTATTATTATTCCTATTTGTACGTGCTTCCAAAAATGCTCTTCTAAAAATGTTAGTACCAACAGATGTACTTTGTTGGTCTACAGATGGAGGTATCTCTTTTTCAATGAGTTCTGTCAATGGTTGACCTAACATAAACATTTATAAATACAATCCAAGTTCAGTTAAGGCAACCATGGAATATGAAGTTTTTTATATTACCAATTAATTGTGTAACTATTCTTCCTGTCCACAGGCATGCTAACTGTGATTTTACATATGGAATAGGTTCTTGTAAAGTTGTATCAACCTTTTGTGCTAACCACCCAAGAATTGGGTGCCAATGAGTTAAGTTACTCTGCTTTGCAACTACATACTGTTGACATGCTTCCAACATTTTTGTTACAACATACTAAAAAACATTATCATAAATTACTGTTGAATTCAAGAAATATTTAAAGATTATATATTTTATGAAAAATATGTACCGTTAGGGAAGGAAAATATAATTCTCTCAACACCTCCTCTCTTTCAATATTAGCCAAATGTATTAAATTAGCCAGTAAACATAATGCATAGCTACCTTCCAATGCATTAAAAACTATTTTTAAATTTTGCTCAGAATTTAATAATCCCAGACTTCGAGCAAACAAATTGGAAGTGATAAATGATGAAATACACTAAACATATATCACAAATATTAGTATATGAGCAAATTTAAAATTAAAGATGAAGTATCATTTTTAACATACCACTGATGACATATTGCTCAGATGATACACCAATGCAGGGACACTAAAAATGTTAATTAAAAACAGTGATACCAACTTGTCTGACATTTGGGAGGAAATTAATGGCCTTAATGCCAATGTAACTGCTGCTGAAAGTGCAATTGGTTTTAAAGCAATTTCTACTCTACCCAATCCCTTCATTAAGAAAGCCTAAAATCAGAAAAATAAGTGAAATAAAACTGCAATATACTGAATAACAGGAAAAGTACTATTAATTACCTGCATTGTAGGATAAAACCCATTGTTGACTAGGTGACCCATTATATTTGCACAAAGCTGATTCATTCCAGCTCTTAATATTTCCATTCCTTCTACTTTTTGAATTGCCCATGTTCCTGGGGAAGTAAAACTAACTAATGTATGTAATCTCAAATGGATGGATTTGTGATCAGATACTCTTTCTGGTTTAAGATTATCTAAACCATTCAGACAATGAAGTAATAATTTTTTCATTTGTAATATCCATGATATGTAGCGGTCTTTATTTAATACAAGTCCTATGTACGAAGTCTCTGGAGACTCTGAATCAAGAGTCGATACTAAATATCTAAAACATTTTCATTGTTATTTTGTATTGCTTTACCTCTCTGAATATGCATAAAAATATAGATTATGCATTCTTGTATGCACGTACCTACATAATTTCTCTATTCTTCCTTGATCCCTTTCTTTCTTATATACATACAAAAATTTAGTAGTAATCTTGTACATGTGCAAAGCAGGTTTCAACTCTAAACCACTTTCCGTACCACCATCATTGAGAAAATTTGTATCAAAGTCTTCCCTGAAAATTTTATCTTTGATTCATCTATTTACAATGTATTATTTTATTAAAAAATACAGGTACTAAGAAAATATAAACAAATAAAGATATATCCGATGAACAAAAAGTTTAAACAGAAATTCGAATGCGAGCTCGAGGTACTTCAGCAACTCAATGGAACATTACCGAGCGCGTAAGTAAATAATTGTCGTCGACAGATTGACAAACAAAGGCAATGTTTACAGTGACTAACAAAGTCATTGAACACTCGTGTATCGTTGTTGGAAAGGAGACGATTCAATAACAGAAAACTCACAATATTCTTTTACGGGTCAACCAACCCCTAACATAAGCTTGTATTAAGGTGACAGCAACTTCTCTATCTTTTTCATGGGCTCTTTCCTCCCTGGCGGCCTTCGTTTGCTGAAGGAAACTGTCCTTGGACGACTCCTCAGCTTTAAACATTCTGGAGATACCGCGAGCGCCCACCAAGCACCAAATTATGCTAATGCCAAAACATTGTCAGCTGGTCATCCGTGGTTACTAGTTGACACTGCGATACAACCACTCACTAGAAAAACATCCTTCGCAACAACGTATACGTCACGTTGATTTTCTTCGCGAGATAATCACACCGACCGAACGGTAGCGATTGCCACTAACCACACGTTTCTCACTGTCACATAATCCATGTATAGCACCGAATGACAATCAACTGCGACGGCCATTGTTATTAATTTGATTCAGGGCTGAATATTGAGGACAAAGGATATTAGGTTAGGTTAAAAAGCACGTGACTAGTGGCGCCATGAGATCGAGCAAGAAAATTAAACCTCAGACACAGACCACAGACTTAAGTAGGTACAGACTGTGCATACAATATATTTTTCTGTCTACTGTTCTGAAATATCGACACTATCAAAAATACCGTATTACACTAGCGGACTCTACCTGTGGAAAACGAGCGGCTAGCGAACTATGTACAACTGCAACATAACAAACATGTGTTAAGGGAAATTTTTTATAAACGAAAATTTAGAAAAATTCTCGTGTACAATTGTATCGAGTTTTGGGAGTCATATTCGATTCAAACGTATTATAAGATATTAGGAAAAATAGATCCCATTCTTTCTATTCCAAACAAATTGTATTTCAGTTTTCTTAAAAAATATCCCGAGTAAAGATAAGCGACAGTCAAGAAAATTTGTGTTATACACATTTGTCCATAAAAATAATTGCCTATATAATGTTGGTTTTATAATACCATGCACTGCTATTCAATATTTGTACTTTGTTTTACACGATATATGAAACGAATTCATTAACAGTTAACAACACATATACGCCTAAGTTTCCTATTCTTCTCTACGAATGGAATAAATGTAATTGCTATTATTCGATACTTTATTGTAAAATGTCACGTTGGAGACTTGTGGAAGATTTAAAAAATTGTATAAAACATCATTCTGTTGATATTGTGTCTGGAGCAAGTCCTTAAAATTAAATCAGGGAACACTGAAAATAAGTCTAAAAGTAATATCTTTTACTAGAAATTCTTTTGAAGAATTTGAAAATGAAAACACTGCATCTGAACCAAATAATACACTTGTTAAAAGCACTTGTCACTATTCGTCATAATAAACTTATACTAAACGTTCTAATGCAATTTGTGCTTAAATTAATATGCTTTTATGACTAAGTGTTCAAGGTAATCCATAAAGTTTTAATGTTCTGTCCATACTAGTAGATGCTATATACTGTGCATGCTTTCCAAAACGAACACCGGTCGCAGTTGCTGTGTGATCGTTGAGCACTTTCAATTCTTGCCACTGCTTACACAGGTACACTCTGAAAGTGAATACAAATAAGTAGCAACATCTTTGCAAAACAACGATTAATAATGAAACAACACGGTGTAAAACTTACCTCACGTCTGTTCCTGCGACAGCTAAATATGTTCCACTTTGATCGAAACAAATATCTTTGACTTCATATGATTCTTCCAACTGAAGAGTCTTGAAATTTTTCAGTTTACGCAAATCCCAAAGTTTCACACAAGAGTCTTCAGCAGCAGTAGCTAAATAATAACCGTTCTCCGAAAAGCTAATCGCTGTAATCGGTCCTGAATGACCCGGGAAATTAGCTACATTCGATTGTTCCTTCAAATCCCAAATTTTCACTTGGGAATCCGCAGTGCCGGTACCGAAAATTAATCCGTCAGGATGGAACTGAGCTGTAGTCAAAGGTTGACTAACCTGACCGGCAACCTGGAATAAAATGGAGTATAAAAAATACGTGGAAACACATTTCGAACATTTATCAAAATTTATTAACGCTTCGTGTATAATGTACCTTAGTCAGTAATCTACCAGTGCGTATATCTGAGAAAGCCCAATGCTGATCCAATGACGAACTCAGTAAATAATCACCGGTCGGATGTAACGAGAGTCCAGTAACGGGGGCATCGTGAGCCTTCAATAATAATGTTGTTTGACTAGTCCCTACATTCCATACTCGTATTGTAGTATCGGGAGATGCGGTCATTACTATATCCTCTTCAGGATGATAGATTACCCTTGTAACCTGGTGACATTAAAATTCAGTTTATCAATATCAATAGATTTTAAACATATAAAAACACATAAACGACCTATACCTTTTTAGTATGTCCTTTCAATATTGCAACTACTTGCTCTGTATCTTTATTGAATACTGTAGCATTTTTGTCAGCTCCACCAGTTAGAATCTTACTAGTGTCTGCACTATGAATATCGAGTGCTAGTATACCAGGCACACTGGCAGAATGAAGACCCTTAAATAAATCAAAATTGTAATAATTAGCTCGAAACGTTTCAGTAAAAATAATTAAATAACAAAATATTACAGGATGTGATGCAAGTGTTTGAAATGCGCGAATACTATCTTGTGGCATCAAATCTTCTGGAACTGAACGTCCGCGGCGTTTTCTCTCCTGAGTGAGCACCGTGGCTCTTTCTTGAAGCTTCTGTATTACATCCTCAGTAATACCAGCTTGTTCCATGGGTTGAGCAGCTGTACCACCAGCTTCAACTGCAACTGCCTGTGACAATATAGAGATTGTACTTTCATGTGCTTATATAAACCAAACAATTATAAGAATAACAGATTTTCCATACAGGTTGTGGAATAGTGGTAGCTTGTACAATTCCAGCTTGTGGTTTCAAAGTAGCCAAAGCCTCTCTGGCTGCTGTAACTTCCTTTGTCAATCTAGCAATCACACGACATGCTGCATCATGTTGATACAAGGCGTGAGACAATTCTTGCCTAGCCGTTTGAAGCTGTTGTCTAAGTGTAAATGAATGTAACATAACAGCATCCCATTCATCTTGCAAAATCTTTAATATGGCTGGAATAGACGTTGCACTTGGTGGCTTAGGCTTAACTATTGGAGTCGCTGTAAGAAATTACAAAGATTATATAATGATCAATGGTAGTATATCAGAAATAGAGCTATAATAACAAACTCTTGACATCGATGAGCTGGTCAATGGTCAATTCTTTCCCTGTTATAGGATCCACTCCATTTTCATTCACATATTTTTCAATTAAACGTCTTTCAAATATAGAGCCTGATACGGGGGATACGACAGGGTGCTCTGGTACCTCGTTAGAAACTGAAAATATATTTGTAAAAAATATTGGCGGCAATGCGAAGCATTTTTGGTTATGTTGAATGCCTACCGGCATCAATCATGATAATTACAATAAAAAAAGTAATTTGTTTAAAATCTTTTGTGGTAAGTTAATAAGATAAGTCTAATCTAAATGTATAGTTTACACACATCATTTAAAAATATTAATACAAATAAGAAAAACTTACTTGCACAAGAGAGCGCCATTTTCACACACACGAAATGTACTTACTGCGCAAGGCATTTAAGACAATTTTTACTTCTATCAATTTTTATATGAATTTAAACAATTAATCTATTTTAGTACACAGTTCATGTATTTAATAGGAAAAAATTTTTCATTACATATAGAAAATATTATAGACAAATATTATATCAATACAATAACTGAGATAAAAAATTATTACTCCATGAACAATAACTTTGTACTGCGAAAGATGACTAGATAATAGGTACGGGTTTCATAAGTAAAATTTTAAAAAATGATAATAATTTGTTTTATAATGTTACAATATTAAAAAGTAATGCTACGGTATTCTTCCAGTAATTTAAGAAAATTCGGAAGGTTTAACAAAACGCTGGAAATCCTGAAGGCTGTCCTTTCTTCACTCTCATTGGTTAACATTGGTTGACATTCAATGGAACGCTAGGTATATATAAGAGCACATATAACTTCCGCTTTAGTGAAGTAAACATGGCTTCTACTACTGTAGCTGTCATCTGCTTTCTGGCACTTGCTTTGACAATTTCAAACGTTCATTCGGCGACTAATTACTATGGGTCAGCAAGAGTTGAGGTACCAAACATATGCATTTTTATTATACATGAATTTCATTATGCCAATATATTATAATGTTATGTAAAATCATACAAATTTAAAATGACAACAAAAATGTTTGCAGAGTTGCGGTGGTTGCAGTCTGAAGCGGCTTCCAGATGTACAAAACTTTATCTACAAAGACGTACCTAACTAGTATCCTTAATTAAAAATATATTTATATATCACATACTTTTGGATAGATGTGATTCTCAAAAGCAACAGTTTTAATTAATCTTTTACCTTTGGTTTTCAAAATCTTTGATTTGCAGGAGGAAGGTTATGGAAGGATAATAGTCCTTACATAAGATTCATAATTGTAGCATACATGACGTTTAGAAATACTGTAATTGTACTTGGAAGTCCAAAGAGAAGTGTCCTTAATGATGAAATCTAATGTTTTCTGTTATAATTCTTTTTATTCCTTGTATTGATTTGAGTGGTATTTTATGTATTGTATATAACTCCTTATAATGTCTCACAGTGAAAATGTTGAATTCAAACATATTCAAGGTGCAGTGCCAGAACTTGTGCTCTTCGATCATGATAATTCGGTACATTGTCATTAGTTAATTAAAAATTGCATGTTGTAAGATAATTATATATTTTTAATTTTTTAGGAAGTAGAAAGGTTACCATTGTCAAGGTTGACACGCGATGAATGCAATGAGTTATTAATTTCTAAAGGTTTTACCAAAAAACCAGTAAAGGATGAGATCTAAGGAACAAAATGAATAATACTCTTAGTGTTAGAGTGAATCTGGGTTAGATCTGGCTTAGATTATGAACTTGAGAAATTATTTTACTGTGCTTAGCAAAGTATTAATATTACTTTGATAAATATATCTTTATTATGTTTTTTACATTTATTTGTAAATAGAAGTAAGTACTATATAAATCAAAATGGTGGTCTTCTGGGAATTATTCATTGCCATATGTACAATGCACATATTCTAAGTCCACTAAATGATTAATATTTGAAATATAATTAAGGCACAAAAAGTAAATAATGTAGAAATCTTTTGATGCACATCTTGTTATCTTTCCTCATTTTTATTTATATGAGGGAGCATTTATATTACCTCCCTATGGAGCTGCAATCTGTGATGTAATGACTAGATCTATGATGTAAATTTGATCATTGTGGAGTACTTGTGCTCTCGCATTTACAAATTTTAGTTGTTACATTTTATCAAGTGTAAACCATTCACATGCTCCAAATGAAAAGAAAACTTACATAATTAGTCATTGCAACAGAATTTAGTGCAATTGAAACGTATATTTAGAATATTTTTTACTTATATATTTTGTTTATGTACTGCACAAATTATACTTTTTTTATTTTAATAAAAATTTATTTTTATACATAATTTTGACAGAAAATAAACAAGGGATCTTAAAATAATGGAAATACTAAAAGCAAATCAAAGCAAAGACAAAACCAAACTGTAGCAATAATAATATCTAACATATAAAAAATTCGAATAAAATAAGTTACAACTTTAATTTTTGTAATGTATTCAGTTATACATAAATTGTAATATTGTACTTTAATGCAAGTACTTATGTCATAGTCTGCATTTGCTTATGATCTCTAATAAAATATTTAATTGAAAGTTTGTAAAATACTATTTACTTAAAATTCCTATCATTTTTTAATAGTATAACTATTTGAGAAATAAAGGTAAGAAATTTGGTTAAAATCATCTGCAATTAATACTTTTATTTTATGTTTATTATAGCGATTATATATTAAATAAACTTGTAAGGCAATGTACAATGTCTGACTGCCAAAGAAATTACAATTTACATGTACAAAAAATATTAGCAACATTTTGTTAAAACGAAATACATTCATTTGTTTGAGGCTTTCACGGCCAGGAATATTGTGATAAGTGTCCAAAGTTTTGGTGGTGTAAAGCTGTGTTCGTCGGTATGATTTCCCGACTTCGGGAAACGTCGGAAAATTTCTAACGGACACTGCTTACACCCGGAAACTTTGAACATTTCTCACGAGATACATTCAATTTTAAATTTTATTTATAATATTTAATGACTTTCACATTCTCAGTAGAACTACATATGGAATGTCAATTTTCTGTCAGTTCAAGTACTGAACATCATTGAAAGAAAGTGTAAACTGAAAATTCAAATTCTATCATATAAGACTGATTTATAACTTTGTAATTACCTTTTTATCTTCTATATCCATAACCATATAACGTAAATGAAAACAAATAAATAAACTATGCTTATGTATTTAACCTTATATTGTTTGCTTGTGTTATCAATTTGTCTTATTAAGTAGATTATATACATTATTTCTCCTTGCAGTTTATTAAAACTGCATAGATTCATGATTATGTAATAAAACTATATTATGTTTTTCTAAGAACCAATTACATGTGTTTTGCATAGATTGGATAATATCTTACATGTCTAAAAGTGATATATCTTTACATATATATATATACATGAATATTATAAGTTCCAGATTTTCTAAAGTTGTTACAAAAGAAACCTGCTTGAATATGTGTACTTAGAGAAAAGTATAAATACAAGGTGACAACTTATACCACACTTTATACACTGCCAATAATAACGTCAATTGTATTATGTTTATATAGAAAATTTATTCCTTGTTATAATCATAAAAGATTAAAAATAAAGTGTATGTACATGTAAAAATGTTATAACTAGGACAATTAAGACCCGTTTGTTTATTCAAGCAGGTATGGTTACTACAGCGAGTAACAATAATTATACAAACGGGGTAAGATTGATGTATTAATAAAAGTGTAATGAATCGATCCAACAAGTGTGGATAACATTACAAAATATGGAGCAAGAAATATGGTTTAACAAAAATGTTATGCCATCAGAAGCCAACAGATGAATACCAATGCCACCCAAAGAAATACCTTTGAAAGAAATTGTTCCTCTTCATATTGAGGTGTTCCTGCAGCAGCTACACAAGAATGAATACATGAATTTGCACTGTTCTGATAACATTTGTAAACAAAATGTGTTTGTACAGAGCTTGACAATTTTGCAACTTCTTTAAATACACACAGAGTGCTGTTGAAGGTTTCGTTTCATTCCATTTACATGAGAGATATTCATTTCAACTTCATTACAATTTTGAAAACATTCTATGTATTTCTAAAGAAGTAGTAAAATCATTTAAATTCGTATATAAAACGCAATTTACCTGCACTTGGTCGTGTTTCTCCAAAATTAAAAGTTGATGTGAAAAATGCAAATGGAAATGTCCCAATACCAAAAGACATGTAAGAACCATCTCCAAATCCAAAACTTGAAAATCCAACATTGTTTTCAGGTTCTGTCCTTTGTCCAGCAGGACGTGGTGGAACATTATTCCTGAAATAAATTATTACATCATTTTTATTATAACATTATACTGTTAGGAGCAAATATGTTAATATAAACAAAATGTACCTTGGATCTTCATGCCTTGCAGCTCCACGTCCATACAATGGAATAACTTTGTCTTTACTAATCGCAGCTTTACAGACAGGACACACTTGCCTTGTCGGACGTGTCTCTAACCATTGATGCAGGCATGGCCAACTATATCACAACAATTACAACAGTTTGCATCATGTTATATTTACACATTGTATTCACATAATGATTTATATTTATATTCTTACCAAAACAGATGCCCACACATACTAATGACCGCATCTTTGGCAGTGTCAAGACAAATATTACATTCGAAAGTTCGATTATCCTTTTCCGTTTCCTCTGTTGTTGAATCCCATGACTTTGATGGTCCTGCCTTTTCCTTTGCAGTACTCATGATGAAAAGCTCTGTTAAAGATAATTTACTTACAACTGTGCATCACAACAATACAGGGAAATACTGATTCTGAAGGAAAGACAGGCAGACAATCTCTAGACGCGAATACAATACTTATTTAATAATTCTATATTCTGAAACGATATAAGGACGGAATTTCAATATATCATTTTTTTATCGGCAGGCACTGACGGCACTATCGTAACTGTCGAAAGAATTATAGAAAAGCGGTGGTAACAATACAATCGGGTGGAGTATCGTACAACAAACAATCGTTAATTACAAATGTCAAGGAACGTGAAAGGTTAAGATTGCATACTGTTTAAGAAACTATTCGCAATTTGCATTTACGATCGTGTAACACCGTATCCTCCGAATCCGTTCTTGATCTCTGATGCATCATGCACTCGAGGATCGGAAGTCATATGTTCTACAATAAGAAGCGTAAAAGCAAAAAATAGCGTGAATCCGTTCCGTGGATTTTACCGCAAACGTATCGATATAACCGACGATCTGTCAATTCCGGACAGTTCGCCTTGATCGGAATATTAACTGAAAGATCGAGCGATGATCGAAGTTCATCGGGTGATATTCGGCAGGCAAAGGTCGCGAGCCCCGTCAAAATATGAATCGAGCAGTGTCTGCCATTGCTGGCATAATTTTGTGTCACTTACTTCGGTCTTTTGACTGCGGGGCCCCCTTTAGCGATGTTGCCCTTTCGCAAACTCAACACTCTTTCGAAATACGATCGGCCGTACAATCACGTACACCACTGTCGCAATTGCGCAAGTGCCATCAAATGATTTTCATGATTTTTCGCGAAACGGATGTTCGGAATAACACGTAAGAGATTCGTCGACGACGAGTTACCGTTTGTTCTTCGTAATGTTACCGTTGACGATCGTCCGCGCGAACTTTACGCGGTTTCACGTTTTATTTTTATCGAACTGGCCCTCGGCTGAAGTCACAGTTGTCCACCCGTAATATTAATATGGTTACCTTAAAACCAGCTCTTGATTAACGCCGTACCGTAGCCGCGCACTCTTCGACACGTTATCGACCCATCTCGAAACATAGTCTGAGAAGGTTCCGTATTGGGTTCATAGAGTACGCTTGAGTACTATATAAATGTCAAATTTGTATCCAACAATATTTCAATAGAGGTAAAAATTTTCAATTAAATACACTTCTTACCAGCACTATTATTAATTACGAATAAATACACATATAACGGTCGCAACGATATATCATTGGCTTGTGTTAACAGTTTGAAATCTTATCATTAATTACGTTTAACTTTCTAAAAATCTTATCTAGAATATTCGGTTGAACCGATAAACGTTCGGTAAATCGAATGAATCTAGGCACCTGAAAATCAAAAAGTAAAATCAAAATGTAAAGTTTTAAATACCCACGACTTGCGCGCTTTGCTCGGTAGATAAGGTCGCCGTCTCAATGCGCATATTGCAAAAGATTGCAATATGAATTCAGGAATTAACAGTATTCGATGTATTTATTAAATGATTATTACCAGGTTATGGTCACGTTGAATATAACTAACTAAAGTTCTCATACTTCGCAGAAACATCGGAGAAAAAGTTCCAAGGTATCGACGAAACTACTGCTCCCCTGAAATTGATTTCTACATCACCATGGTGTTCGGTACACGAGTACTATTCAGTTGTAGTACACGTCAGTAGAATACAATAATTTACCTTGAGGAACAATCGGCGTGAGGTATGAATAGCGCAATTAGCATTTCCTAGTATGCACGAGCTGGCAAACATTATAAACTGTAGTTTGCATCGTTGTTTTCAGAATGAAGACAGATGACCTGGGCTCACCGAAAATGGCCCCGTCGGGGAAGTTCGACAGCCCGATTTCCTCGAGGTTGAAGGTGAGCTTGCTGGGGAGGAACCGGAGGATCGCAGGGAAAAACGTTGCGTCGGTGCTCCTGCAGCAACGGCAGAACCTCCGTATAATAGACGAAGACATGGACGTCACGCCGAAGTTGCTGACCCATCCGAAGTTCAATCCGATCGACGAACGGCAGGTGACTGCGTTGGAAACGATCGGATTGATCCGGGTTGGTAGCACCGGCCAATTGTCCTCGAGCTCCCTGATCAGCAGCAGCTTGAAGAGAAGCTCCTCCATGCTGGTCAGGTCCTCTTCCCTTCCAGCGAGCACGGCGGCAGTGGACACGATCCAGTTCGAGAGCTTCTGGTCCACCCAGCTGACCGACTCGAGCACCTACGAGATCGAGGACAAAGCTCCGTCTCAGTTTTACTTGCCTAGGTAATTTGCAAACTGGATCTGAAACTTGAATACCAACGTATTCAAGAGGCCATCCTCGCCGCAAATCGGGGGAGGAGATCCCTAACGGCCAATCACGTCCGTGACTTTGCACTGATCCTTTGGGGACGCTACCTTGTTGCATAAGTATTCGATACAAATCATATTGCATTGGAGACACGAGTCGAAAGGTGAATAATAAACAGACGTACGCTTTCGTTTGTATCTTTAGCGTCGCAGGATTCACTTGCTTAGCGTGGCGTCCACAAAGAATTAAGATAGAGAGACAGACGTTTCTCCTAACTTTCTGCCTCTCACGCAGCGTCGATCCGAACATATTTCCATCGCGGCCGGAGACTGTAACGATCACACTCAAGGAGACGGAGACGTTCTTCATCTTCGAGATGCTGCCATACACCGGTGACCTGCGTACGCCAGAGGGTATGGCGATCAAGGAGGAGAACGAGATGTACGAGTACAAGACGACTGGGCCTGGTTCGAACAGGAAGCTAGTGGACTCCGAGACTCAGACTATACAGGTGCTCACGAAATCGCGCGGAACGTACATTCGTAGAAGCAAACGGAGGAATCAGGGGACTTTCGTGAACAACTGGGTGATGCACGACGTCTACGCGGCGCCTGAGCTGATGACAGAGAAGAACAACCTGCTGATCGTCCATACGAGGGAGAGCATGGAGAAGATATGGGAGGAGGAGGTCCGAGCACTCATCTAACATTACCGTAAAACATGCATTCGTTTCTTGATTCAATGAAAGTTACTTTTTTCCAGGAACTAAGAGACAAGTTACCGGCGACGGCAGCGCAGAAGAAAGCCAAGACGCCGGAAGAAGAGCTCGCCGAGATATTCCAGAAGGTGAACTTCACGAACGCCGTGCGAGTGATGGAGCGCATAATATCGAACAACATCTTCATCCAAGCGCAGAAGCGCTTCATCGGCTTGATCAAGCAAGATCCTTGCAGTCTGGACCTGGAGTTCACATACAGCATGGATCTGCTCTGGGAGCATTCCTGTGAGATGAGCGCCGGAAGACCGGTGTCCTCGTTCCGTTGGAGTTACCTGAACAAGAATATTCTGGCGGTAGGCTACGGGGCGCGGGCGAATTCGGAGACCAAGGACGGGTTGCTGTTGATCTGGTCAGCGAAGAATCCCATGCTACCGGGTCGCTGGTACCCGTTCGACAGCCCCATATCGGACCTCGACTGGAGCCGCGACCGGCCGAATCTGTTGGCCATTGGATTCTACGATGGCAGGATCAACGTGATCGACGTGAGCACCACCTACGTCAACGTGATACGACGAAGCGAGAAGATCACGTCTCCGTCGAGTTCGCCGCAGTGGCAGGTCCAGTGGTGGGCCGGCGACGAGCACTTCGACTACCAGGAACAAATCTACTCGTGCGACCAGGACGGCCACGTGTTTTGCTATCGCTACGTGGAGAACTTCATGTCGACGACCATCATGAAGATCTTCAGGATAGAAGGCACGTTGCCGGGCATAGCAAGAACGTCTCACTGCATCGTCTACGACATGGTGATTAATCGAAGTCCCGGGGCACTGGTGCTACGCAGGCATCCCACGATGAGCGCCATTTACTTCGTCGGCTCCGACGAGGGCTGCGTGTACAAATGCTCGACGAATTATTTGTATCAGCACATCGAGAGCTTCGTGGCACACGACGGGCCCATGTACTCGATGACGTTCTCCCCGTTCTGCCCGAAGATCTTCCTAACCTGCGGCGCCGACTGGTGCACGAGGATTTGGGCGGAAGGGCTCACGGAGCCGTTGATCACCCTGTCAACGTCGATGGCGTGCGTACGGTACGCGGCCTGGTGCCCCACTCATTCAACGATCATCGTGACGATCGTGAACAACGAGATCTGCATTTGGGACATCAGGAGGAAGATTCACACGCCCACGTCCGTCACGCTGTCGCCGAGGTCCGGTAGACTGGTGATGGTCGAGTTCACGGCGGACGGTAACCGCCTGGTGTCCGCGGACGTCGACGGCAACGTTTTCGTCTACATCCTCGAGGGAATGCCGTTCCCGCCGTACAACCAGGAGCAGGTGTTGGTCGAGTCGATCCTGAAGGCGCTGATCACGAAGCCGACGCTGCTGCGCAACCTGCGGAAGCTTGGACCTCCATTCTCCTCCGAATCGAAACCTGCAGGGAGAAACGTGTAGCTTTCGACTCGTGTTCCAGAGAAACTGTGAAACCACTTACGACGTCTACTTCCAAAGTACAATCGAAGTTCACTTCCTCGCTTCTTCGGCGACCAGTGTGCACCCGGGGGCACCCGACTCAATTAGAATTCGTTTATCCATTAATTTCCATTAACGATCACCCTTTACGATCTGAATGACGTCCAGCCGGTTGTTCCCTTCTCATTCTTTCATTTAATGGCACTTACGCTGTAAAAAATGTCGGACACGGGACGGGACCGTTTCGGGGTAGCCGGGCAGCCCCGGTCAGCGTGCACCGTAAAACATGTTGGTTATCGACGTAAGGGTTAAATCGTTCAGTCCCGAGCTGTTCGTTACCTCGATGGAAGAGCGTGAGTGCGCCGTAGATCGGGCGAGCTGGAATTATCCTCGTTTAATTTTCAATAACCGCCAGCCGGAAAGCGGATCGGCCGGCGCTGGTTCCGGTGGTCCCGGGGTACGGCCGGCGCGTCGTTACGCGGGACAGATATGGCATTTTAAACTACTTTATCGACGGGGCAGCCCGCGGGCGAAATCCAGCACGTGGGGACCCCTCACGGTCCCCCGAAGCGAAGCGCGCGAGGGCCCCCGGAGGGCCTCCTCGCATGATTCGCGCAAAAGCACGGAAAGCAAAGCGACCATTTCGATTCAGGATGGAACTCCGGCGCGCCGGGGCCCACTCTGGGCCCTGGTAGGCAGGCGAGTCGGCACGGATGGCTGGCCGGCCTGCACGGAGGAGTTGCAGGAGAGTGCCATGGTAGAGGGGCTTCCATGGCTGCTGCCGCTCGCGGGCACGAACCGCGCTACCGCCGTCAGCAGCCAGTCTTATTACGCCCGCACTCAACTACGCGAACTAAGTACTCTTCTTAGGCCGGGGCGAACCGTCGCGGCGGAGCAACGCTCTCGCTTGGTCTAACCCACGCGAAATCGGACGCGACACCACACGAAACGAAACGAGAACCGGTGCCTGATTCACCGCGCGTGCAACGCCAGTCTCGCACGCCTTTAGGGGTACCACCAGTGTGTCCCTCCGCGGTGTCGGACACGCGGTGCGCCCGCCACGAAAATCCTCGCTGCGGAACCGATCCCTGGGAGGAAAGTCGAGCGGCGACCAGGCCCGCAAAGAGGATCTGCTCCGGTTGCGTCCGAGCGGTGCCCGAGGACCTGCTGCCCGGTCAGAGGTAACTATGGAACCTTTTATATTCGAGCAATTCGATAACACGCTCGCTTTTGCATGGAGATCGAGTCCGTTGGTACCATTCCTTTCTCTCGTTAGAGAGGAACGACTTCTTTGGGAACTTGTGATTTTTGAGCATCGTGGAAATTGGAACGATTCCACGCGAATCGGGATTACGGAGAGAGAATGTACTCTGGAATTTGTAACGATTTTCCTGTTGTTTGGGATTTGATTGGGATTTTTGAGAATTGCTGTTTTATTGAGGAAATGTTTATGGTTGGATGGTTAGTGTGATTTTTGACGGTTGAAGCAGTATTGATGTTTCTTTGGAAGTGAACCGTATATTTGAGTTTTGTAATACTCTAGTCAAAACACTGGCACGGTTTCCCGTGAGTGTCGATCCGGTCATCAAAATTCGAGCATCGCACGACCTGGAATGTCAGTTTCACCCGTCAGACGAGAGAGGTAACACAGTTGCTCGTGTCGGCTATGAAAATTGTCACAGAACGGACGTCCTTATTGTCCACGTCGGCGATTAGTTTGGTTTTCTTGTCAGTAGAAGCACGTCGGCATTAACATCGCCGGTCATTACGTTGTTTGTCGCGCGCCAAGAATTCGCTTCCACGCATACCGAGCTGTCACACGATAACCGCGTGTCACGAATTCATCGTATATTTCGACCCGTCGGGGATAGCCGTGCTTCGCCTCGGCGAGCCCACGTCGAACGACCGAATACATTATAGATTAAAGAGTAAATAAATTTCTTCCGTCGACTTCGTAACGCGTCACGTTAACCTCGGAACTTTCAAAACATTTAGGTTATCGTGACGCCGTAAAATCGACACAAATCCATCCTACGTTCTCTCTCATCGATATTCCCGGCCGCGATAACGATCGTCACCGTATATAATAGATCGCTTGGAGGTTAGAAAATTTCCCTCCAAAATCACCGAAAGAAGCCCGAGTACCGGGCGAGGAGTGGGGGAAAGATGCGCAAATCGTATCTCCGTGCAATCGTAATTTCCGCAAAAATTCAGCAGAGGTCTCCCCGAGCCAATCAACGATAATTGCTCGCTTATACGTCACGGGGGCCTGATTTCCTGTCAATCGTTTGTCGAAGGTCGCCCGCGGCGTGTCTCCGTATCTCGGTCCAGCTTCGATCGTCGTCGCGGTGAACGCGGTCAGCGTGAAGACTGCTTAATAGCGAGGAACATGTGCAACCAGGGAATAGTGGCGGAGCCGATGTTGCCGGGGCACGAGCTACACTGTGACCACTCTGTTCGCGACGAACCCTGACCGATTCCACGCTCGTCTCCCCTCGTTCCCTGCAGCAGCTGAGCCTGGCCGGCGACACCGCGTAGGAGAAGGTGAAACGCGGCAACGGTGAAACCCCGGTGCTCGTCCGAAAATTCCCTCGGACCCGTCGTCGTCGTGGGACACGCGCGGCAAAGTGTCGTTTCAAGTTAACGCGCACGGTGTATAGAACGAGAGAGAGTATCCCGAGGAGCGGTGTGTTCGCGAAATTACATGTTCCTCGTACATTCGGTACGCTATGAACATCGACGTCCTCGGATGTAACGGGTGGTTCGCAAGTAAGTATCCTCGACATCTTTTCATCTTTTCAGTTTCTTTCGCCTCGATTTCTACGTTTCGAAATTCAACGTCGACCGAGATCTGCGCATATGTTGACTACACATGCGCAGCTCTAGAAGGATCAAGTGTCGCAGTATCGAATACCGATGTTAAACTATTATCAGAATTTTCTAGATTGTTGAAATCTTGTCGACATTTTTCATAATCTTTCCAATTCCTTCGAGTCTCTTGCTGCTAGACACGGTCGTACCGGTAGGATTACGCGATTCGCGCATCCTTCTGCGCATTCAATCACGCACAACCGTTACATCTTTTAAATAACTCGTACCGTCATTATCTTAATTATATCAGTACCGAGCGTCGGTTTACATTACCAATTTCCATATATTCCCAGCCGTCTGCCCTTTTGTTTACCCGACGGAGGGGGCCAATTTAAAAACGAATTACCATAGACTCGCGGCTGCAAAGGTTAAACGGACGTTCCCGCCGTAACGCGGAAACTCCCGCCATTTTTCAATTTCGTAGATACGCGATGTTCCTACGGGCAACGATTTTTCCCACCGCTCCGCCGGCTTATTACGGTCTATTTATCAATCTCTTTTGCCGGGTACCCTTGGACTGGCCGTGAAACGTGATATTCGGCAGATAAAATCACGGCGAGGCCTAGAGCACGTACCGGTGCGCGTAACGGGCTGGGTTCAAAAGTTCCGCCATTTTTCGGCCTCATAGGCGTACGCTGTTGCCCGAGCCCGTGGTGTCGGCCGGGCTAATTAACATTTTTTCTGGCCGGGTAACGGGTCATTGTCGCCTCGGTACACGTAACAAAGTGGTTATCTCGGCCGGCCGCGCGCCGCGCCCGTGTAACCCAATTAACGTTTCCAATTATACGTTTTAGGGGAAGATTAACGAGCGCGGACGGACGCGCTCGCCTCGGATATTCGGTCCTCACCGGCCGCGGGGCCGCCTTCGTGCGCCTAATTGCGATCGAAGATCGATCTGAAAATGGGCCCCCGCGAATCGACCCCC